CTCTCAATGAACTAATAAAACACTCTCGACGAACTAGTTATTCTCTTTATCCTGAAATAAAATGAAAATTCTAACCACAATCACGACAGTCCTGGTCAGTCCGAATATTTCAATTTAGCTGAAAAATATTATTGATCAGCAGTTTCACTTACTGGTATGTTTTGGGTCGTTGTCCTGCTGAAATCGGTAGCTGTTGTCCGGAAAGGTCTGAAAGGTCTCCTTGACGAAGGGAAGCTGGGTATTTTGCAGGATCTCTTCTACATAAAAGAATCTGTCCAGGCCCCCGAAGATTAAAATCGGCGTGGCTCCTTTCATAGAAATCCCTGCCCAGACATGGTCCTTGTATGGGTGTTTGGGGGTCGGCTTCATCTTCTTAGGCTGGCCAGTTTCCCTGAAGCACAATTTGCTGTGTCTGTTTAGCCAAATGCTGCTCTCATCGGTGAAGATGACATTTTGGAACTGCTCGTTGTTTTCGGCGCATTTTGTTGCGAATTCCAATCTCTTGACTCCAGGGTTTGGTTTGTCCGCTAAAGTGCCGTATCGTGTAAACTTCTTAGCCAATTTTGCTACAGTGCAACGATATATTGTTATTCCCTCATCTTCACTAAGCTTTCGGGCGATTTTGGAATAGTTAAGGCCTTGTTTATACAAAGCAATCACCCTGCGTTTGACATAGTCTGAAGTTCTAGGCATGTTGACTTGTATTGCAGTAAAAAACAAGAGTGAAAGGATCATTTTTTACCTCAGGGTTTTGCTTGGTCAGTAGTACTGCTTAGGAAACATGCTTTGTTCGCTTGTTTTATTGGTCAACGTTTTTCACTGTAACGGCCTCAATCAACACAACATTTAATTAAGAGCGACGTTCAGGAAATATCGACCATCGAGTGGCAAGAGTTGAAAAATCTATTTCCTTCATTTTTTGTCCATAGATAGCTTTTAGGTCGATAAGTAATCTGATGTAAGTTTTTCTCGCAAAAAGCCTTTTATTTTCGAGAAAAATAAGAATATCAGTTTTCGCGGTCGGAGTGTCAAAATGGCCGTATTTTCATTATTTGCTAGCATCATCTCTCCTCGCGTTCGCAAATAAAGCAGTAAGGAGAAATTTGGTCACTTTTCATCAATAGAATAACTGTTCTTCTTTCATTAGAAGGTACTTTCAAAGCAATATCAAGACTGGCTGAACGTTTTTTACGGTTCTTTAATTTAGGTTGTTTTCTGCGGCATTTTTCTTCTTGTGCATGGTACAAGATTTTTAGACATTGGTCTAAAGCATACCTGAGAATCACTCCTTTAGGTAGGAAAGCATCGAAGTCGGTTCAAAATAGTGAAGCGTGACCAATTAACGTATACCACCTGAGATCATCATGTCTCTGAGAACTACGCTCACCAATGAAAGTATGGATTGTTTTATTTTGAAATTGACAAGTCAACCAGTATTTTGCCGAACAAGAAAATAAAGAAAGTCTTGAGTAGAGGCAACAATAGTAAAGGGAGCAAAGTCGTTGTTCAATTCGGATCGGAAGATTTAGAGGCCACGATCACTGGAGTAGCAAGTAAACACCCGACAAACTCTCTCATTATAAGGCTTGCTTACAATAGAGTTGAACGACTTTAGGACACGCATGATAATTGTTTAAGATCGTAAATTAAATAAGATTGTTTCCGAATCCTCGTGTGTATCCCTAGTAATTGTTTAAACGATTTCATATGAGGCTTCAACAATTTACATGTTAGCATCTTCGACAAACATATATAACTGGTGTATGTATTCCTATATATTGAACTAATCACAGACGGAAGTTAACTGAATAGTCTGCGCATGAATACTTTAAAATACTACCGTAAATGTTCGAAGCTTAGTTAGATGATAAATTGATAAGTTAGTACACTTAGTATCTTAAAATACTTACTAATTTACTTAATGTTAAATTATCTCCATAGATGATCAGACACAGCTTATACGGCTGGATATGGATTTCGCAGCGTCCAATAGGTTCCAGTTCTGACAGTTAGTGAAAATGGTGAATCAACCAGGGAAAACCAGCCACCCACCACGACAAAAAAAAAAAGGAAAAATTAGCATAACGTCAAAACAGTGGATGCTGTAGCGCGGATTTTTGACCGGTTCGTAGGATAGGTTTGCCTTGAAATTTCAAGGTGTTGCAGTGAACCAATCTTAATGAAAGTTCCAAACATTATTATATACATTATGAAGATTATGTGAAGAGATTTTAAAAAAAAATTCGTTCGATTCGTTTCAGAGATATACAAAAAAGCGCTAAAAGTCCAAATTTTGAATGAAGTTGCACTTAGACAGGTGGTGAGAAAACGGGTTAGTTTTTAAGATCGCAAGAACGAAAATACACCAAAACTTCCTAGCATCAAAATATGATATTAAGCAGCATTCTGACGCTATATAAGAATAATTTGAGTCATGTATAACGTTTTTATTGAATAATCTATCACGGCTATTGAAAATTTAAGGTTTGAAATATTTTTTTCGCTGTAGTCGAATTCAAAAATACAGAATTTTTTAATTCTTACGGAGGTTATTTGCTAAGCCCTAAACTTTAAGTTCCTAGTGTTGGATTTTGAGTAGCTGGTCTAGATCGCGCAAAATTAGGCGTTTATCAATTTCAAAGCTTTTTGTTTATTGTAGTCATAGTAATATCGATTTTACTAAAACATCCCTTTTAAACAAATTTCAATCTATAGTCAATCATTGGTGAAAATTTATAGTGATCAGGAAAGGATAAAATCACTTTTAAAGCGATTGAAAAATATCGGTATGGCCTCTGAAAAACTATATCGAAACACCTTAATCGAGATTTTTGCTATTTTACTCAATCTTCATCATGCTTGTGTTAATATTTCTTGAGCCTTAGGCTTGCCTTATAAAATGTTCGAGAAAACTTGGAAATTATGCATTTTTAAATGGAATTTGTAGTTTTAACATAAGTTTTACCAAAAAAAAAAACACTAGTCTAGATTTCTATTATTTTTCTCAATCTAGTCATTGTGTTACGTGTAATATTTCTTGAGCCTTAGGCTTACTTTACAAAATGTTCGACAAAACTAGGAAATTATACATTTTGGTTGAATTCCGACTAATGTGACAAGACTTTTTCCCCCTCTACATGGTATATTTTATATCAGTATATTAACTGAGATCGAGAACGGAAACTTTGAATGTCTCACTTGAAAATCTCCTTTGCTGATCGTGGGATGATACCTTCATCTTTGTTCAGAGATTCAGAATCAATCTCCATATCCAAATCATGACTCCCAAGCATGGGGTGCGTTTTGCCAGATGCTGTTTGTCCATACGCCATGATGCACACGTAAAACCTGTTCAGCGAACACACAATCAGTTTAATTATAATAAGTGTTCTAAGATTTACACGGCATCAAGTGCTTGTCTCAATGACTGGACAACAAACACTATTGACTTCATATTTAGGATATTCAAGTTAAACAAAAATATATTTTTTTGTATTTTAGCAATTCATCACACACAAGACCAAATAATTTTGGCTTTGCGCGCTACTGATCATGATGAAGTAGTAGCTGCTCTTTATTTGGTTGCGACAAGACAAGAGAAAGCAAGGCCGTCCCCTGAAAGCGTAGGCTCGATTACCAGCCGTTATTCGGGAAATGACCCCACGCTTCACTCTCGAAGGAGAGGAGCTAGGCAGACCCAAGAGAGCGGAGGAAAATTCGAACCTATCGAAAGCGTTCAGAACGTGGCATAGCAACGATCTCTTGTTGATGTGTTATCAATTGCAAAGCACTAGCAGCTGAGCTGTAGAAAGAGAAACATCGACAGCAAAGAGTTCCACTGTCATTGACCTTGAAAAACACTAGTTAGCATAAGAATTACTTGATTTACATAATAAATCAGGAAGGTTGTATAAAAACAAGGTCAACTCCAGCCTTGTTTCCAGCCATAACTGTAAAATCGCCTATTGATCATCTGAAGTGGTCAATTATGAACCCCGTTTAATGTTTTGTCCGAATAGTATCGCATTTACTCAAAGATGCTAGGCGCATTGACGTTATTGGTATACGTGACATCATAGTATGGCCTGCAGTTGAATGAGGTGACAAGCCTTCGATGCTGAAAAGTCAACAACAACACCCTTTATTTACTTCACATAAATATATAACATAGTGCTGACCTGTAAAGTAGCAGGAACACTAATCGATAAACAGAAAAACGATTTTGTTACTAGTTTCCTTTGCTCGTGGTATTATCTTAGTCCAAGGAAAGTATTTATCAAGTGATGAAGTCCATTGATCAAGCCAATGGATATGTATTTGGTGGAGCTGAAGAAGACAACAGAGGAAACTTTAGTCAACTGATGTCATCAGCTGCTGGAACTGATTTTGAATTCTTCAGGTTAGTGGAGGGCGAGGAAAACATATTTTACTCTGGAATTTTGATTTTTATGGCAACTGCATTTAGAAGCTACGTTATTTTACAGCAAGTTGAAATCTAAATGAACCTGCCAATTGTTGAGATCTTATAATCTAATATCACATGGCCGGTACTGTACATTTGATTTAGTAACAATATTTGAATGAGGCTGAGTATCAATTGAAGAATTATGGAGATCGAGGAGGGTCTTACGGCCTCGGCGGATAACACTCTGCGAGATCTTCATAACACTTCAGATGATACAAAAGCCGAATTCAATAATTGTTAATTATTATTCATTCAAAATAATTCGATGGGAAAAGTTCATTTTCGATAGCGTATGTTTATCGGCAAGTTTAGGAGATAAAAGGTTGTTTAGTTCTGTACATATTCTCCAAATAGCAGATGTCGTCCGTCGAGTTGTCTTCTTGCTGTTCTTGCTGTGTTTTTAGCCAATAGTTCGCCTATTTCTTCCTCTTGAAACGAGGGAAATGTTCTGCCATTTTGTATCACTACAATAGTCACTATCAATAAACAACTCAACCTCGTTCCCTGGTCTTCTCGGCTAACGGTTCAATAATCCGTCAATTTTGCTGCACGATTGTCGTTATCAGTTCACATATCGCAAAATTCTTCCAAATTTGGTTGACAGTAGCATGTTATGATGCATTATGCGTGGGATTTTAGCCAATCAGAAACGGAGAGAAATTTTGAATGAATAATAAGTCACTTTATAGAGCGTTTTCACTCACGTGGCCTGCATTTATGCGAGTTTTTTGGAACAAAAGAAAGGGTTTGCATAAGAAAAGAGTTCAACTCCCAAAGGATTGGTTTGGGACACCAACATGGCCGCCGTTTCATTGTTGTGGGACACCAACATGGCCGCCATTTCACTGTTGTGGGACACCAATATGGCCGCCGTGACGTCATGTGAAAACACTCTATAAGCTGAAAGTTGTTTCTTGTTTCTTTTAGTGTTCTATGGAAACCCCCTTTCCTCCACCCACAATGGCGACGGAGTTTTTCATACTTTTGAGGGGTTATTCTCAAATAGGGTACTGCGAGAAACACATTTAAAGTTGGGATGTTCTGTTGTGTCCTATTTACAGCTGGTACGGTGGCACAATATTGCTTAGAGCGGGTGCCGTGGTGCCGGGTCAGGGAATGCTTCATTTCTCCCTATTCAAGTCAGTACAACGTCACAAAGCGCCCTCAAGTCAAAGTGTCTTTTAAATACTAATTTTTACGGCGATTGTAGGTTGTCTTTTATTTGCTCAAGGAAGCCATCCTGTGGACAGGTTGTTACATGTAAATGTTGTTGTTTATCTAACGTATTTACACTGCTCGTGTCCAATTTTTCAGAACTGCTGCAGTTCAAGAAAAGTACATGGTGGGCAAAGACGAAAAACCGTGATCCATCGTACGGCAATTCTCTTTAACAATGCACTGTTGCAACAGACGTTGGCAGGACGAGCAAAGCGACAAAATTTAAGTTCTCCCCAAACATGTACTTCGGATGTTTTTGCTTCTAGTAAGCCTGTCAAAGAGTCAGGAACATCGTACTCATTTTATTGGGACAGTTACTCCAGCGATTGTGAACACCAAAGCCGATAACGGTCAATACCATGATCGGTAACCATATACAGACATTGTACTTGTAGATGTAATATAATATACTTACATGTTCTATATATAATGTTACAATAAGATAAAAATACATTTTTGAATATTGTTACAAACTAAATAACAACGTTTCGGCGTAGTTGACTTGAATCAAGTGTTCGATAGAGATCAGAGTAACACACTATTATAGATGTAAAATGAAGCTGGAGCGGGGGATGGGGGAGTGGGGGGTTCATGAATATTTGGGAATTAATGTCAAAGTATTAGTCTGATGTTAATGATGAGTTTCCCCGTGGCATAGACCTGACGAAAACATGACGAATGGAACATTTTCGTTGTCAGTGTCTTGAAAAATAAATCGAGCCCTGCATTTTCAAATGGGCGCTCAGGGATGAGGCTGAAGTCCATTTAACAACCTTGTCCTTAACGGAGTGAATGTGCTACTTTTTTACAAACTGACGTTAACCAAAGGCGAACCCCAGAAATCGAAGAAAAATAACCTTTTTCGTGCCATGGGTAATAAGTTTTACCGCTGATTATTAATTTGGTGGATTTGATATGATGGAAAGTTTGTAATGATAAGTGTGAGCAATAGGTAGCTCTTGTACGTTGTACTGCATATATCATGACCAATCAAAACAATAACCGATAACTTGTGGGAAATGAAGCCCGTATGTGTCTAAATACCAATTGAAAGCAACTTATCATTTGACAAGTTACAAGCTGAGGTTGCTCGCATAAACAAATTTAAAAAAAATGAAAATTGAATAAATGCAATGAAGATTATTGTAATTACTAAGACAGAAGTAATGAAGTTGCAAATCCCTTCTTTTTGCAACTACTTAATTTGCTTCTTTAACTGCGATGATCTTTTTTGCATTTATCACGGTTTATTCGTCATTTCGCGGTTCAAATACATGAAATAATTATATATTCATCATTTCATAAAAAAATTGAGTCCAGTGTTGGCAGGGTAATATAACGAACTCTGAAAACATTTCGTTTAACTCCTTGGAATTTTAAGGACAATCGGTTATGTTTGCCATAACTTGTAACACCCCCGATCTCCTCTTTATGTGAGTATATCGTTTTACAGGGCGGAAACGGAAACTTGTTCTTAGTTTCAGATAGCAACATAGCAGTAAGCTGATTTTAACTAAATTTTAAAACAACTAATTTGTGACGACTAGCTAGTAAACAACTGGAAAGGAAATTATGTTTCCTAAAACGTATGTTTACTAAAACCTTATTTTACCGTGAAGGATTTAAAAGGTTTAATTCGTAACCTTGCAACCTTTATACAAACGAATACCTACGTGGACATCGTATATCCTTGGCAATCTCCTTACTTTAGATAGGTTAACATGTTTGTTTATAGAAGGACCCAAATTATTGATACTCTTCTCTACAGGGAAACTGTGGTGAAATTTAGAGGTATTCAACATGTATTGGTCTCTGATTAAGATGCTATTCTTTGCAATGATTATTGTTTGTTTTCTCGGCTTATGGATGTACGACAAACAGTTAATCGTGGAGGAATTGCAGTGGCCCCAATTGGAAGGTATTTATTGTTTCTTTTTACGAGTTAGTGTAACCTAAGATTGAAAGAAAAAGGGAGAACTGTGGTAAATTTTGACTCATTCGTGAAGTGAACCGTTTTATAGTTGCCCCGGCGTGACTAGCGTTTACTTGATGATCGCTCCAAGTCACGTAGTTTGGCCGCTTTCAGCAATTAGAAAATGGCTACCAAACTGAGGGACACTGTGTTAATAACCCCTTAAACAGTTATTTATAAGGACAAATACACTCGGCAAATCACGACCCAACAAGCTTCTAGTTTTAACCCTCATCGTGTTAAAATAAACGTTTTTTTTTAATGATCAGTTAAATGTAAAACTAAGAGAAGAAAAAATCGGAAAAGATTATAACGGATTCTGGGACTTTTTTTTTCTTTCAGTTCGTACAAGGAAAAATAAAAGTTCTCTTGGGTCATATAGTATCCCTTCCTATTATGCGTGCGTACTTTATTCATCTATTAAATAGAAAAAAAACCCTTACTTTCAGAAATGAGACCAGGTGTACAACCTTTCTTGTGAAAATGAGTTTTATTTGCATGAGAATGAAAAATCATTTTCATATCAAAGGCTGAGCCCTCAACCTCGTTTTGACACAGAGGCCCGGGGAGACTAGGAAATGGCCTATTAAATTAAACAATCACATTTATTTCACTAAAAATTTGCTACTTTTTCCCAGGCCCCATTTTTTCAAAAGGTGGATAAACAAGGCTTCTCTATCCAGTAGACTTTCTAAAAGTTCTTTACTTTTTTTCCTTGTTGGTTATCCCACTTCGATACTTCGTCGCTTGCTCGGTCGCTGAGCGACCTCACGCACCGAAGTTCGCTTCGCTCACTTCTAAGAAGTTATGAGAGGTCTAGCTACTTGTAGCAAGTCTATCTATCTTTGCCTATCTATCTATCTATTGTAGAGGGTTTTAAAGGCATGTTCTCGAGTTTACATGTATGTATGCATTTCTTCATTGAATTACATAGGGAAATTTGAAGAACATCCTTTCATATTTATAAAAGTATTCATAACATATAACGCTACAGCGCTCTATTAATTTTAATGTCAATAATTAATTTTATATCAATACTAAAACCATAAACTGGTGCATGTCTTAATTAGAATCCTAGCGCTATTACAAAGGAAGAGGTTAACTGAAACAAAAAATCGCGCATTAAAATGCTTAAAATGACACTATTTGACTGTGCGATCAATGAAAAATGTTGCAGTGTTGACGGAGGACGGGGCATTTGCCCTCTTTTTTCATCCCCACCCCGGGGGATTTGACAGCTGAAGAGTCCCCACCCCCGTGAATTTGCCATCCAAGGCAAAAATGCTAATGCCCGGGGGTCAGTCCGGGGGAGGGGGGGCTGGGCGCAGGTGGAATTGACTGATGCATTACAGTGTTTGTATCAAAATCTAATGTCGAATAATTTCCGTAGAACGGCTGTTTTGAAAAAAATATGGGTTGTAAACTGAAGCTACAAAACATAGGATTGTACTAAAAAAATTTGGGGGCGTACCTGTGCTTCATTTCTCCAGAGGCTTGGTTTAGATTTTCCATACATTTGTCTGTAATTTTCCCCGGGACTTTCTTAGAGACAAATGTTTAGAAAATTTAAGAAAGTGGTTCTAGGTCTTCTAGCGTACGTAACGCCCTAAATTTTTTTCCGTAGAATCCTTAGGAGTGAAGCATTAGTTTGCAATTCATTATATGTTTTTCAAAACAGTCGTTCTACGGAAATCATTCGACGTTAGATTCTCATACAAACACTGTAATTTCTCACGCGTTTGCCCACTCGTCAAGATGGCGTCGAAAACCGTGACAAGGTCTATTGCGAAAATGCTGAGATTATATTGTGAATTCTTCTCCAGGTCTTAATAATACGCCTTTTACAGACCGACCTTTATCTTTGAACTTCCTTATGCTGAGAAGAAAACAACTCTTGCAAGACCAGTGCTTCAGGAAACCACAAAACCCTCTTTACATTGAAGAAGCCGACTTTTCCCGCTTCATTGTAATTGAAAAGTTGAGGTTTGTATTTTGTTTCATCCCAAAAGTCTCTTGTGCAACTTGGAAAAGAGTTCTTTATGCTGCAGAAAATATGGGAAAAGCTACTGGGTTTAACCCGCACAAAAGAATACTGTTTAAGTGGCTCAGTGATTACACCCCTAGTAAAAGAAAAGAAATTTTAGACAGTTACTACAAGGCCATGTTTGTTCGTCACCCGTTTGAGAGACTGGCGTCAGCTTACAGAGATAAAAAGAAAAAAAAGTGGTTCCAACGATTAATCTATCCCGAGAACGAAGAATTGTGGGGAAAGATCAAATTTTCGGCCTTTATAAGGCGTGAGCTTCTAACTAGAAACAAAACGACTCTTCAAACTAACCAGCACCGGCGTTCATATGAGCAGATTTGCCCATGTGAAGTGAAATTCGACTTCATCGGACACTTTGAAAACTTGTTCGAGGAAGCAGGACGGCTTTTGAACATAATTGGTGTTTATGACTACGTAAAGTTTCCCGAATATCGTCCGTCCAAGACACAACCGTACATGCAGGAATATTACTCCGAGCTTACCACAAGCGAGATATCGCAGTTGTATGAAATCTTTGAGTTGGACTTTAAACTGTATGGATACGACAGGCTTCCTAGTCCTTTGGAAAAGTTAATAAAAAACACAACAGTGTCAGAGAAAAGTAACCAGGAAAACAGGAAGGATAAATAGTTCATTGTTTGTTTGTTTGCTTCCCTCCGATGCGGCTATTGCAGGGGCATAGCCAGGATTTTCCCAGAAGTACGCACACTTTTCTCAATCTCAGCTATGTGTGCCATTGCATTTTTTGCATTTCTGCGAATAGGAGAAATAACAACAACTTCCGGTGAGAGCACTAATCTCATTAGAATAACTCGGTTAGATCGCTTTTATAGTGCATAAGAAGGGAAACGTCAAAGCCCTTCAGCTTACTCTTATTAACTACAAACATAGTGACAACGTTTTGATGCCTTTATGTCTAGCCGGATTTATGAAAACCGTACCATCGGACTCCTGGAGCCCACACGCCTTAAACTGACTCAACTAAAGTAAATATCGCCAAGAAACTCAGTTCTTATCCATGGTTCTCTGTGACTCTCTTCTTGGTTCCTGATTAGCAAAAGAAACATTCAAGTCCATCAAAAAGACACTCTAGCTGCTGAGGGGAATACTTTCATTGGCCAGTGGGCCTCAAACATTACACTGAAGAATCTGACATGAACAAACTTAAGGCAGACATGACCAGTGCACTGATTCTCCCAGACCAGGACTAACGGAAGGTACCACGCTTTTGCAGAACCCTCCTCCCGCCTAGGGATTGACATGGAGGCCCCTTTCCAACCCATGGCGAGTTAGCTCAGGGACTGAGCTTGACAATGAGACCAACCAGGACAGCAAGCCCCCTATGTTTTTTCTCACCGCAGTGACCAGAAACCTGGCTATCGCCAGGTTCCTGTGCGAATATTCTGGCCCGTTTTGAGGTATGTTTTCAAAATTCGGCTAGATATACATCCACATTTAGATTGCCGCTTTCTGCGCAATTTCCCTGCCTTTTCTCGAAATATATCAGTCAATCACGCGTCGCTTCCCTGGAAACCGACATTCGAGTGTAAAAGAATATTTCAGAGAAACAAGCATAGTTAAATGAATTAAGGAAAACTGTACTTTCTTAAAGTATTTGCTGTTTTCATATACTAATTTGCCTTTTTATTATATAAAATCAATATATTAATTTTTTTACCCTCGACTTTTCCAGGTACGCACGTGCGAATCGCGCGTTCAGACAGCTACTCTCCTGCAACGCCTTTATCTCTGGAAGTCATACATTACGGTATTGCTTTTATTAACTTCCAGACACTAAAATAACATGTTCATGCTTGGAAAATAAAGACTAAAAAAATGCAATGAATAGTGACAAAAATCTCTCATAATGATATTCCCATGATTTACTAGTAATACATCTGACGACTTTTTATACATTTCAGTACTGTCTGATATAGTTTGTTGTTGTTGTCGTTGGCCGGTTGGTGGTATTGAATACGTCGGGTTCTTGTTTTCATCGAGAGTTCTCTACTACAAATTGCGAGTGAGTGTCAGTAACTTGCTGCAAGAATATCGTTGAACATTATGAACAATACGAAAACTTGTGTTATAAAAATCATTTAACTAAATTCGCCACTTTATAAACTAGAAAGATATTAGGACGGGTTGATTCTCGCAAAGCAGGGTTCGTACACTTTTTCAGGCCAAAAATTCAAGGACTTTTTAAGGACTTTCCAGGACCCTGACTAGAAATTTCAAGGACCTTTTTTAATGACAATTTTACCTCAAAACCAAAAAAAATGTTTGTGTTAACATCTCTGTTTTGGGTTTAGAGATTGTGCAGAACATTTTCGATCTTGTTCAATAAAAACTCAAGGACTTTCAGGGACCGAAAACGAAATTCAAGGCCTTGAAATCGGACTCCTGAAATTCAAGGGTTTTCAAGGGTTTCCAAGACGCGTATGAACCCTGGCAAAGGCTTCTGGGATTGTTACTAGGCACAGGGGAAAAATTGGCCAATAGGTGACCAGCGCGTCCCCACTAACGATCCCAGAAACAATTGTGGGACACATTTCGGCTCCAGTTCCCCTCTCGTTTTTTAAGTCGCCAAAAAGGACGATCACCTAGAACTATATACAACGTTCTGCATAAAATCACCGCAAAGACTAGCGGCAAACCAAGAATGTAAAGTTTGAGTGATATGGCTACAACAGTCTGTTCAGAGCTGATGGGAAAACTAAACTGCCGTTTAACAAAAATCTGGTCTCTATGACGATGCGACCAGAAATGGAAAGATACGTACTGGGCAAGACATGTACAAAATGAATTATGACTGAAATTTTTATAGGAAAGAAAATTTTTGGAATCAATTAAGGTTTATGGTACCCTGGGTACCAGAGGTTTTTTCTCGCCTGCGACGAGGAGCTTTGTCGGTCGCAGGCCGCAGCCGAAACTGGAAACTGCGCATGAAAAGCCTCTGGCACCCAGGATGGGATTTTGCATGGGTAGCTGACCACCTACCCCTCCCTTACGTCACAATTTTGCCCTAAGTGACAAGTTAGTGTAAATTTTGACTTAGGGGAGGGGTAGGTGGTCACTTATCAAATTAATCCGTTTTCGTCATTGTCACAGAACTATGCTTAACGTAACTAATTATGTACGGGAATTCTAGAGGAATAGTTTTGTGGCAAGAGTAAGAAACAACTAACAATGCTACTTTTTGTTCGCGCTATCAAATTGATCGAGATGCTAATCAAAATTAAAATTAGATTTGCGACGTCCTCCTCCTCGAAGATCCCAAATTCTTGGAGAAAGATTGTTTCCGTTATTCCTTAAGGACTGTCCAACCTGACTGAGATCTGAAAAAAAAAAAAAAAAAGAATTACTGAGTAAATAAATAACAGCAACCGATGGTGGTAAAAGAGGAAAGCTTAAGCAGTAGAACGTGAATGCATATTACGGTAAAATCCCGCGACTAAGAACCTGGTTTTTAAGAACCTGTTAGGCTAAAATTTGAAATAAGTTCTTTTTTTCTAAAATCTACAAATAAAATTCTGCATACTTAAAAAGGTAAGATAAGTCAAGATTCAGGATCCTCTTTGAAGACATAGGTGCCTTATTACTCAAACTGCAATTGTAATGGTATACAGGTTTTAACGTATTTTATTCTTAAGAAAATAAGAACCTATTTAAGAGCCTAAACAGCCTAAATTTGTGCTAACAACCATTTAATATGTAAGAACCTGTTTAGGCTAACTTGGAAAAATGCAGGGTCTTAGTCGCGGGTTTCAACTGTATTTCAAAATAAACTGCAATAAAGAGAAATATCTATATCAAGGGCAGCGGCAGCCTAGAAAAATAGTTATCGACATCTAACGGCATTGGTTTATGTCTCCTTCATTCAGCTATCATATATGCCTGGAGATCTCCAAAATGGATTATTGACGGTTTACTGTTAAATTCCAAGTCTCGGAAACATGCGATGAGGTGTTCTTTGTTTTTTCCTCTCTTTCCCTTCCTTTTCTTTCTTTTTTCGTTCTTTCGGGGGCTTGAAAAAGCGAAGGCCAAAGAAAAAGGGGTTAGGGTTAGGGTTAGGGTTAGGTTGAAAAAGCGAAGGCCAAAAAAAAAGGACGAAGGGCCGCTTGATCGCAGGTAGTATAACCACACACAAAGAACTGACAAACCTAAGCTGATGCTGTTAGGAACAAATGAAGTAGGCCGGCGTTTCTTCGTTTGACCACGAGCTACTTGACGAGCACGCGATCCAAAGCCTAAGCACTGAAGAGTTTCCGTTATGAACCGCTGGGCAGGAGAAACGCAGAGCATTACCAAAAGCTTAGCATCTCCACCTAAAAATAACAAGAAATATGTCACTCACAATGACTAGGTTATGTTAGAACTAACTTGGTAGGGTTCTTAAGAGATTCTGAAGAGATTTTCTCAAGCCCATAAATTCCGTCTAGATATTTTCCCTTAATTCTTCGCCACTTTCATATAACCAAAAAAACACCTTTTAACACGCAAAGTTTGAATAAGAATTGCTGTCATTTTTCTTGGTATTACAGTCGTCCTAGGCGAAACCAAAAACAATTCTTATGCATATATGCTCTTGGGGGGAATAGTAAACTAGCTGAATTATGAGCAACAAGGAAATGGTAAATGCAGCAACACCGATGCACTTTGTGGCCTCAACCCGATCACGAACAAGCTTTTAAATAGGCCGTGGAAAGTGCCTATAATTTCACGTCTTGTAGAGGACATGAACTCATGAACTCATTAGACCTTTTATTTGTGAGACTTATGTTCTCCACTCCCATGGTAACGCTTACAGGTCAGCAGTAGTCCACGTGACTTTATACATTTAAAAGTTTCCACAACTGACACATTACCCTGCGAGCAGAGACTACATTTTCGCTGTGTGAGCTGCATGTCGTGCGAAAAGTAACCTCTGTTCAATTTTCTATCGTGAGCTGCATGTCGTTAATCGTCGGTCTGTCGTAAAAGTAACCTCTGCAGACAACCCTTCAATTTTTTTAATTTATTCGTCAATCGTGCATAAGCGAAATTTTTCGTCACGCGATTCGCAAGCAAAATTAATCGTCAGGTCTGTCGTAAAATGGCGCGAAACATGTTTCCATATTTCGGGAATAAAAAAGATGTGACAACTCTGGTCCGCTTCATTGTTTCTTCGCAAGACTCACGCAATGTTCTCTAAACCGGTCAAAAAAGATGGAAAAATCCCAGTTTTTTTTGAATTTATTCGTCCAGATTTTTTGTCTGGACGGATTTGAAACGGTTGTCGGCAAATGAGGCTTGGAGGCATTTAAGAACTTTTCGCACGCCAGCTCACACAGCGAAAATATTTAGCCTCTGCTCGTTCTGGGTCTCGAAATACTGGCACATTAACACTAGACTAAACAAACCTACCAATGGTATCCTGCAGCATATGGGTGAGTCTGGTGTTACGGTAAGGTATGTGAGAGCGCTGTTCCGATAATGCTCCTAGTACATCAGCCAGGGCACTCAAACTGTAACCAAACAAAGTAACCATTAAAAATAGCTCTGGCAGAATTTTTGGCCCAACACAGGTGGGTTACCGATAACGTTCCTAGTTCATCAGCCAGGGCACTCAATCTGTAACCAAACAAAGTAACCGTTAAAATAGCTCCAGCAGAATTGTTGGCCCAACACTGGTGGGTTATATTACCGATGTCGGATGTTCGAACCGAACATAGCACTGACCAACGCAAATCATAACTGAGTGCGCGTTGATTTGGTAAAGTATAGCAACAAAAGAAACGTTGTTGGGTGAGAATTCAAAACAAATGAGGTCTCTGCATTTAAACATATCACATGAAAAACCGAGCATTGTAGCAGAAGCTAGACTACGAGTAGTCCCCCATTTTTCCTCAGAGATAGTAGAGCAAGCGAAACGCGAGCGCGCGTGAAAATCACCCCACACGAGGAAAGAAGACACGCGGCGGGAGATTATTTTTTTGAGTTTCAGCTTTTTCCCTTTTTTTCTCGCTACATCGCTCTCTCTGCAATATGGCGTGTTTGCACCATGCGACTAATCAAATGAATCTCACAGTTTTGAATGACTTTAGTCAATCCAAAACATTGAATCTGTTTGAATGGGATTTGAGATACGCAGACGGAGTTTATCACAAGTCAAGGTACCCTGGATGCCAGCGACTTTTCTAGCGCGGTTTCCGGTTTCTGTCAAGTCTTTATAGTGACCCGCGCGAAAAATATTTCTCGCAGCTTCGCCGCCGTGGCTTCGGCCTACGGGCGAAGATGTGTCGGCCTTCGGCCAACACCGAAAATTCCCGCCGTACGCGAGAAAAAGCTCTGGTACCCAGGGTAAAGTCAAGGAGACCCACATCGTTAAATCTTATGAACTTGGTTTCATTATCTAATACGATAATGGTCAAACTTCATCAAAAGCACCCGCATAGATTATATAAAAGAATTCACTATTTCAAAACTGATTCCGTTGGCGTTGCACTACTGGGATCAAATTTAAATCTGCATTCCTGAAAGCATAATGAGCAGTGAAGTTTCGGCTAAAATGAGGCCGTCTACTACTTCTAAGAATTTGGTCCGAATGAAAAGTCTTTGGAATGGGTAAAATTCTATGATGGCAAAGACATGAGGCCGTCTACTACTTCTAAGAATTTGGTCCGAATGAAAAGTCTTTGGAATGCATAAAATTCTATGATGGCAACGACTAAAGAATTCAATTTTCAAATGAGTCATCAGTAGAATCTATGAGGTGCACGTGTGCCTGACCTTGTGGCCAACCTAATAACTAGTGTTATTGTCAAGTACAGCCTGTACCTGAGGTTTTGTTTTAGGGGGTGAAAATAATAGCCACACTCGTAAATTACGTCCCAACACCCCTGGTTTAACTGTAGCATCAGCTGCGCTGCCTGTTTTAAAGATACTGTAGACTGGATACATCAAGATCCATCCGAGGGTAACCTTTTTCGCTGGGTACTTTCCAACTCATCTCTCGCTCCGCAGGAACGCCGAGAGTACCCTGGGAACGAGGTGGCCATCGAGGAAAGTCTTCACACTCACGGACGGCATTCAGTCTGGTCTGAATTGAGGTACATCACGTAACAACCAACCACAGATATCACAAACGACTGGATTTGTAACCGGGTTTCATTCAGAACTTTAAAACACTACGATATTGCAAATTTCGGCGTATAGACTGACTAAATATTCGGCTGCACTGAAATCCATGCGCAAGAAACGAGACAGAATTGTAATCAGTTGTAATCAATTGCCCAAGAAAGAGAAACAAACAAAACAAAACAACAACAAGAAAGCAAAACCTATAAATACCTTTTATTGATATGCGAAGTTTCTCTTAACGCTGCTCCGGTTACTCCAGACATTCCTTAAATTCAGCAAAACACAATAAATAAATAAAATATATATTTTATTCAACTCATTATTCATAGTCCAGTTTGTGAACTCTTAACAGAAGACTACGATCGGTTCAGGACTTGGTCATGCAAGGTGTAACTATCAAAACTAAAGAAGAATGCAAAAGATACAGAAACTATTCGTTCTGAAAAATATCATTATGATCTCTAGAATTTAAGTGGCTCTTAGATTTGGCCGACCAAAGACTTGCTTTGCTAGTTTAAAACCCAGCGTTCTTGACTGGCGAAAATAAACACGACTAGATATTAAAATACCACGAGCTAGCTCTTGGGATGCAGCGAAAACTTGTCTTTTTGCCACGCTCATAATCAAATTCGGCGCAGTTATCGCAGGTTGTCACTTCGATGAAGATCGAGCTTACAGTTGAAGCCAAGTTAATCATAAACCCACAACTAGCGATTAATTCTTTCAATCATAGCACCCTCAATTTAAAATAAAAAAATTCCTGGTCTTAATAAGGCTCTTACCAACACATTCACTTCCGGCCAAGTCGACAAGCTGTAGTTTAGTTTTAACACTCTGTTTGCCGTTAGTGGAGGAACCATTTGTCCGCGTGGGGGAGGGAGATCTGGATCGAGCAGCAGCGGTACCAGGTGCTGGAGATCTAGGGAGAATTTGACGATGTTAGTAGTAACACTATTATTTACAACAGGCAACAAGTTCCAAAAACTCTCGTCATTCGAAACGAGACTAAGCGCAAAACCCCTTTTTGTGAAAATTAGTTTTGTTTGCATGTGAATAAAAACTATTTTCATGTCAATGGCTTCGCACTTAGCCTCGCCTTGAAAGAGAGGCTTGAGGCAACTTGGAAATGGCCTATTAGATTTTACGCTTTGCAAAAGTCAGCACCGTGGTGCAACTTTCCCATGTGACAATTGTTCTACATACAAACAATCATACAATTTCTCGTACGCTAATTGTCTGCTTATTTGATTTTATCTGGATACAGTACGTGGCATGTCAAATGAACCAAATGAATGTCCAAAACAACAATCTCTTGCCTATCGTATGACAATCTAAGAACATCATTAGAACATTTCAGATTTTGAGATGTGTTAGATGGCAGACAGCTTGCACTGCTGCCAGCCTACGCATCGTCTAGACCATTAGCAGTGTAAAAAAAAGATAAAAAAAAAAATGTAAATTGCTTTTTTACCCACGAAGCACTTAAGAGTTCATATGACCTCGTTTAAACGTGTCCGTGCGTTCCAGATCGAATTGGAATTTGGAAATGTTGGTTTTTGAGGAGAGCAGGAAAACCGGAGCACCAGGAGAAAAACCTCTCGGAGCAAGGGAGAGAACCAACAACAAACTCAACCCACATATGGCGTCAACGCCGGGATTTGAACCCCGGCCACATTGGTGGGAGGCGAGTGCTTTCACCACTGCGGCACCTATGCTCCCTGGTGGCGGATTCAGACCTTCAGGTAAGGGGGGAGGGGGGTCTCAGAAATTTTTTTTCGCCCTTAGGGCCTCAGTGTGGGCTCAAAATAAGGGGAGCCCGGCCCCCCGGGCTCCTGCCCTAGATCCGCTACTGATTGGTATACTATGCAGCGGTTTAGAGTGACTGAGACGCAGGCATATGGCCAAGTGCAAAGACTAAAGCCTGGTGAACGCCGTTTGGAAAACAACAATCGTCGAAAGAAGGAAGTAAATAGTACAGAGTGAATGTTCATTTGTAATAACCAGCGAAAGTTCTTGGCATCATATTGTCACAATATGTTAAAGAAAGCTGTCAAAAAATAGGCTACCTACCGTGAACGTCTCACTGACGCAGACTTGCTTTTGGGTGCGGGAGACTGGGATCTACTGCTGTGCCCAGCTGAGGGAGTGGGAAGTGTTCGCCGTGATCTGGTTGGAGTTCCTGGGGGGGAGGGTGCGGCATCACTCGACACGGAAGACGTGGTGGTGTTATTAGTTACAGTGTAAATTGTTAACTGCACAATTAGATGTGAACGACTCGAATGCGCATGCACCATCGTTGCGTCTTCGTGACGTCGCTTCATGCCATAATAAACGACAGTCATGACTTCTTGCACCGTGTTTACAGGTCTAAGGGAGGAAATTAAACGTTAATAAAGTATTAGTTAGCACGCTTTACCGCCTATTTTTGCCATTACGGAGCTTAAGCAACAACGACGACGACATCGCGAGCGGATCAAAAGCAAGAGGTTTAAATTAGCAAAACAAAACTTTACACGTGGACGCTTTTTTGCACATTTATTTGCCGTTGTTGCACGGCCACGACGTGAAACTGCCTATGAATTTCACGTTCTCTAGAGGACATGAGCACAAGAAAACGACTTTTTTCTTTAAATTAGATACAGTCCTATAGAATTCAACTCCACAAAAATTCGCCAGCATTCGACAAATTGAACGCCATGGAATAAGAGCGATGAATTTTGAAACAGCGTGAGTTTTGAGAGACGTTTTCGCCATGCTCGTCGACGCCGTTGCTTAATTTGCCTATTTCAAAAGCAAATGAGGTAAAATTGGTTTGTCACAAAGTCATCTTAGAAAGAATGATTGAATTGTACTGCTTTCAAGTTAGCTTCAATTAAGTTTTCATTACGCTCTAATGAAATGAATCTGAATAAAAATGTCAAAGGGGTGAACTTAACCGACTTCGCTCAACTGGTGGATTTTTCATACTGTGTTACTTATATGTGTAAAAGACTGATACAATCTAATTGAATTCCATTTAAATAAACACTACCTAGAACGTATTCTGTATAGAAGTTTACTATACTACGAGCATTGTCAGTAAAGTTTATTAAACGGTACAATTTAATTGAATAGATCCTATATAGTTTTAAAAGCACGTCAACAATACAAATGATCAAGAAATCGTTCGCGCTGGTACTACAGACACTGCGGAAATGTTAAGGACACGCAGGTAATTTTGTCTGCGACAAAAAAACTGCTATGAAAGCCATATGTGACCATTTTCCAAGCGTTTTCAAACATTTGACAGTGATAAATACCTGGTAACAAGAGACGGTATTTCGGTCGCTCCCTCGCTACTGGTAACAATATCAAGCTGCAGATACAAACAGGTAAACCGTTAAAAAATTGAAGCAAAAGAAATACAACGACAACAACAGACAAAAGACGTAACAATCCCGGCTTTTCTTTGTTTATTCAGGGGAGCTCCTAAAACATTTATATATACAACAGGCAAGTAGGGGGGAGGGGCACACGTTCATAAAGCCACGCGTGACGCGCTCCTTATGGTGGCTAATATATTCATATACACTTCGCTTTTTGGGAATAGATTTTTGGCAAATCATCTCCATCTTAGATACCAGGAACTTGTGACTCACAGGCGACTAGTGACTTAATCAGTGATTTTTGTATGGGCTTCTAGCGGAGCAATTTCGTTTACAAGGCCATGGGCTGATAGGCAAATTATTTATATTTTCTTCGCCATCATAGAAACATTATGGGGTTACTTTATTGTAAGTTGTATGTAACCGCGAGATGCTATATAAAGCCGATTACAATGTAGCAAGGGCAGGAGCCGGAAAGAAAAAATGAACTTCTGAGAAATGTTGGAATAATGACTAAATCTTCAACCGGAACACTCTTCGTCTTTCTTGCATTATTGGTTTGTTATTTACCCAAAAATGTGTTTGTTTATCTTGTATGTTATCCTTGGACAAACAACGCCGGCTTTACAAAGTGACGCTGCAGTGTGTGAATTCGTCGTTTAATCCTTTAATATATTACTGGAAGATGAGACACATCAGACAAGCAGTTACGGACATATTTAGCAAAATAGTGCAACTGAAACGTTTAAGATAAAAGGTAAAAGCAACTCAGCTCATTTTTCATTGTTGCAACGAATAGCGAATACACATGTAGCCAGTCTTACTGCGCCTGAACGCCGCGCCTACCATGCACAATTTTCGTTAGCCTTACCCTGCGAGCAGGGGTTTTTTCTGGCATAACGTCGTTCGGGTCGCTTTTCAGTCGTGTAGTCCCGTTTCTCTCGGGGCGTAAACAAACCAACTAACCGACTTACAAGCCACGAAAACGACTTTAAAAATGCTAAAAGCCACGCCAGAAAGAAACTTCTGCTCGCAGGATATATTAATTAAGTTAACAACTATTTTCCGATAGCAAAGTTAGAAATAATAAAAACAAAAACAAAAACTAAACCAACCTTAATGGCTACGTTAAAAGCCGTTGGGAATAAATAAAAAAAAATGTATATAAAAATGTATTTGATTGGACTACTAGTCCAGGGCCATGTGTCCGAAAAATCGTTCTCGTGGGCATTTCATGAACATTGAAGTTTCTTTGCAGAAACTTACAGTTTAAATGGTGCTGAATCGAAAAAAAGTTGTCTGCAATTTTTCCAGAGCCATTTAGGCCTGTTTTATACAAATTAGACATGACGTCATTATATAGCTGATGAATGACAACAAAATGCCTTCAGTTTGATTCGCGACTTTGTGAATCAAATATAATAATGCATTTACAACTGCAGTTTACATCACATTTTGACTGTTTCAAGGAATGAACGAATGGACCACTTATTTAAAGCAAGATACACGGGTTGTCATTTCAGAAACGTCTTTTCTTTTCTCCAGATATTTACTACATCTTTTAATGAATTCCCTTTGAATTTACGAGTCCAATTCTCCAGCTTTTTAAAGTTCTCTTTCTGTTCTCTGCCGATTTTTAAACACCAGAAAATATATGGTATAATCCTGTCTGAGTCCAGCTAGAAAAGGCATGCGTTTGATGGTCTCCCCGTGGTTTAAAACTCAACACCTTATTTGTTTTCAGGTTATTCTTCCTCTCTTATTTGATTTTAGTGCGCGAAGGCATATTTACCTGACGACTACTACTGTGTATGCAATTTATCTGGAGAATACCCCAAGATTATGGAGTTTTATTTATTTATTATTATCAATTTGCCGCATTAAAACAATACATTCATTAATAAAATTAAATGGGTGTATACTATGTTTAGGAAGGTCCCACAGTTAGACGACCTGGTTTCCTGAATCGGCGAGATGCACATGATCATGCACGATGACCTCTTAACGCACCCTTGGGGCATCAATCGAGGGCAGTTGCTTTTACGAAGAATGGTTAGCGACGGGGATATGGCTCAAATACAATGCGATAGATTCTTGAAGGGGAACGTATGAAGCGTACTCTGACCTCACATCATAACAGACTCTGTTCTAAGTGATTTGCATATGGAGGCGTTTTTGGCGAGCGAAGCCGATTACACAAGTGAAATCCTAGCATCTTTTGCCATGAACATCATCTACCAGCAAGGTCGATAAAGTGAGCGAGGGACGAAACACAACTCAAAGACTTTTTAATCGCAATGGAAACCGACGGGCTTCAAGAGAGGCTTTTGTGATTTGAAAAGGTCATGGAGTTTCCGTGTTTCTACTAACTCAAGTTTGCACAGGACTACATGACGTTTGTGATGTGTAAGACTGGAATCTTCACCTTGAGTCCCTCAAGGCTTTGGCACGGTATTTCTTTGCTCAAGGCAGGCTGAGTTTTGCACGAGTGGTGCCAGTATATACATCTAGCGCAGATGCACAGCTTTAAGATCGATGATCCCGATATTTGCCTTGAATTCATGCAAAGAAACTTTTGTATAACCAAGAAGGAGCGCCCATTCTGTGCAATTGGCCCGGACCATGCTATAGAACACGTCAGCAAGTTGATGAAGGTTCGGGGAGGACACAGCAACCAGCAGCCATGGGAAGATGGTTCCTTGAGGCCCCAGAACTGAGTCGACTTGCGGCGCAAGCTGAGGAAATGGTGGGATTACAAAGAGCTCCATCATCACACCATCATGATTTAAGCGATGTGCTAACAAAGCGCTATAAAGAGAATATACAGAAGCTTAAAGATGTGCTTTAAGTGAGTGACCCTTTCGCGACAGAAAGTCATCTGGTGAACATCATCACAAAAGCAGTTATGCTATATTACATCAAGGAGGGAGTGCTAATGCAAAATGACATTGGTCAGTCGTATTTTGGCACATTAGTTTGTTCAAGCAAAAATCGTCGAGGCCCCAAGCAAAAGGTACATCTCAAGTCATGGAAGTTTGTTTGGCAAACAAAGAAAAACAAAAAAACTAGTGGAATCGCACCCTTAAAGGATGAGAGAGCTCTCTTCACAGGTTTCTTAGTTGTGATTCTCTCAAGGCCTGATCTTCACATGGAAGATACCATAAGCACTTTTAAGTTAGCTGAGTTTCCGAGTACACCCTTCTCCTCTGATGGTAGTTTGCTACACTGAATTGCCAAGAGCAAGCTGATTAACATCCTAGAAGGCCTTCTACCTCATCAGTAGCCACAAACGCCTACAGTACAACCTCGCTCTCCAGACCGTTTCAGTACGCGTTTAGTAATTTTTTATGCCATTGCAGCAGTTCAGTCACTGGGAACGCCATCGTGGGTAAGAAACAAGCGTGACCTAGCAAGCCATTTCATAGAAGTCGTTGATGCTAAGACTAATGTTTCCACCTAGGTTCATTTGTATTTGACCACTACTAGATCCCCTACTCCGTAAAGGAAGTAACGCGCCAGTTTAACGACTGGTTACAAACAGAGCAGGGATATACAATGATTACTGTCGATGATGTTATTGACAAAACAACTATGAAAGATCTTTTGAACTGGAACCAGAATAAGGAGGCACTGGCTATAATCCTTGCAACAAAACTCATCGAGTGCAAGAAAGACTCGCAGATGATGTATGTGGTAAATTCTAAAGGTGACTGCATGACATCTAATACTGTACTGCATGGTCTAGACACCACAAAGAGAGGAGAAACGTCCACATTCATTTAAAGCCAAGATACAGATGTACTCGTTCTGACGCTCTGGACTTACAAGAGACTTTGTCTGGATACTACATTGACTGCAGAGACAGAAGGAAAAGGAAGAAGTACTCCACTAGGACAACTCTACGAGGTGGTCGGAGAAGACCTCGTGAAGGCTTTACCTGGCTTTCACGCTTTTTCAGGATGTGATCAGACAGGCACCATCAGTGGAAAAAGCAAAGTGTGTTTTTCGAATAATCTAAAGAAAGCCAAACTACCGATGCTCGATACCTTCTCTAGCCTAGGAAACAGCGACACCATCCCAGATGATATGTACATAAAGCTAAAGCGCTTCGTCTGCCAGTTGTACATCCCATCGACACAGCTGAGAGAGCCCTAGGAGAGGTCAGATTCTTTCTTTATAGCAACACACACTAAGTAGATAAATTGCTACACCCTGCTAAAGCAGCCGTACACAAGATGACAAAATGAGCTAATCTCGTTGCATTGGTATCGAAGTCTTGCGACAACCCAATACTAGCATTCCTAGCCTAACGCTACACGAATGGCAACAAGATGGGGAACAACTGAATGATCTAAAGAGCGAGTTAGAAAGAATTATTGAGACTCGTACGAAAGGTTCCATATTGAGAGCTAAAATTAAATGGCATAATGAAGGAGAAAAAAATACGAAATATTTCCTCAACCTAGAAAAGAGACACTATAAGCAAGGCATTATAAGCCAACTTAAAGTGGACGAAAATAACTTTATTACTTCGGATCAGGAAATATTAGCAGAAGGGGAATCTTTTTTTATGAATCTATATACATCCAACAGAAATATACACAATTTAATTGACACATATGATTTTTTTAAACATGAAAACGACACCGTCCTGAATGACGAACAACGGAACAACTGTGAAGGCCTGCTAACAGAAAGGGAATGCCTTGCAGCCCTGAAAACCATGGAACAGGGAAAAACCCTGGATCTGATGGGCTACCTGCAGAATTTTATAGAGTATTTTGGACAAACATATCAAACTTATTGATTAACGCTCTTAATTATGCGCACGAAACGAGTCAGCTTTCCATCACACAAAGAAGAGGAGTAATCAAACTCATTCCCAAGAAAGACGCTGAGCCGTATTTCATTAAAAACTGAGACCGCTTACTCTTCTCAACTGCGACTACAAAATTGCAGCAAAGGCTGTGGCTAACAGGCTGAAAAAGGTTCTTCCCGATCTCATCAGCTGTGATCAAACTGGCTTTATGAAAGGCAGGTTTATTGGCGAGAACATACGATTAATAGACTATGTTATTCGTTTTACCAAAGAAAAAAAATATCCCAGGGCTATTATTATTTCTTGATTTCGAAAAGGCTTTTGACACGATTGAATGGCCTTTTATCATAAATTCTCTTCAATACTTCGGTTTCGGCCCAAGTGTTGTAAACTGGGTCAAATGCCTTTACAGCAACATAGAGAGCTGCTTCTTAAACAACGGCTGGACAAGCAATTTCTTTAAAATTGAAAGAGGGGTCAGGCAGGGGTGCCCGTTGTCTCCATATCTATTTGTTCTTTCAGTTGAAGTCTTAGCCAAGGCTTTTAAAAGAAACAGCAATATCAGAGGAATACACGTTAACCAAGAGGAAATTAAAATAAGTCAATACGCAGACGATACAACCTTAATATTAAATGGTTCACAAACGTCGCTCTCAGCTGCTCTCAACACACTCGACGATTTTGGAGAAGCCTCGGGTCTCAAACTCAACAGTAAAAAAAACAGAAGCAATTTGGATCGGAACATATAGTGGAAAAACAGAAATTCTTCTTCCAGAAAGAAATTTCAGATGGCAAACAAACAAAGTAAAATCTTTAGGCGTTTGGTTTACGACAGACCCTGAAAACACTGTACTTCTAAATTATAAGGAAAAACTGGAAAAAATTAACAATATTCTAAGCAACTGGAAATACCGTAGATTAACCTTAAGTGGGAAGATCACTGTTCTGAAAAGCTTAGTAGCTTCTCAAATTGTGTACGTCTTGGCACCCTTGTGCACAAACAAAAAAATAATTAGCGAGATTAACAAGCTCTTTTACTTGTTCCTTTGGAACGGAAAGGGCGATAAAATAAAGCGAGATATTATGATTAACAATTACCCAGCAGGTGGCCTCAAAATGATTGACATACTATCTTTCAATAAAGCGCTAAAAACCACTTGGATAAAAAAGTACCTGGATACAGATAATCAGGGTAAATGGAAACTTTTTCTAGATCTTGAACTGAAAAAGTTTGAGTGTACCCTACCTTTCACAAGCAACCTTAATAAGATAGACATAGCTAATATCTTCAAAACGCAAGACAGTTTCTTAAAGGAAATTCTCCTAATCTGGTCAGAAATCAATTTTGAAGAGAGGATAACATCAGAGAGCCAGCTTTCAGAACAAGGCATATGGTACAACTCACTTGTAAGGATTAACGACAGCCCTATTTTCTTTAAAGAATGGTATCGTAAAGGCATCACAAAAGTTAAGCACTTAAGGAACAGAGAAGGAAAATTCCTCACTCCACCAGAACTTTTAAACAAATACGACATCAAGGTCCAACCCTTGGCATACTGTGGAATAATTTCTGCTCTTAAAAAGCTATGCAACACATTCAACCAAGGTGACCACACAAACGAAGGTAATAGTTACGAAAGCTTTTCGACAAAACTAATGAAAGCCCAAAAAGCAAGCAAGTTGGTGTATGACAAATTAATTACAAAGAAAAGTGCCCCCCCTACTACAAGCCAGCAAAAATGGAATCAAGACTGCAACTTAGGTCAAAACGAAATAACGTGGGGTGCGACCTACCAGCTAACTCATAAAATCACAAAAAGCATAAAACTCAGGGAATTTCAATTTAAATTGCTGCACAGAAGAATACCAACAAACGCTTTCTTAACTAAGATAAGAGTAAAAGAAAACTCCAACTGCTCCTTTTGTAAAAAAAAGAACCAGAAAAACTCGTACACCTTTTCTGGTCCTGCCCCAAAACGGCGCTCTTCTGGGAGAGCATCATAACGCGATTAAAACTTTGCCAAATTATTCCCGATAGTTACTCTGCAGACATGACTGTTTCACTAGGCCTGAGATCAGACTCTTCTAAACTTCAACGCCAGATCAACTTTTGTTTTCTTATTGCCAGGCACTATATCTGGCTCTGCAAAACAAAAGAAGCTATACCTCTATTGCAAGGATTTCTCAAACACCTAAAGACAATTTACAACATACAAGCACAAGCAGAAGCAAACAATGTTCTGCCCAAACAATGGTCATTCCTACACGACATCACGTAGAAACTATCGTTTCTACCATGGCGCTATTCCCAACGCCCCTGATATTCTCTATGTCTTTCATCCGTAGCTTATCCTGCCTCAATAACACCAACTATCCTTAAATAAGTTTCTTCCGATGCAACTGTGTACTTGAAGCATACGAAATGTAATAATGTTTGAAAACAGTAGTATTGTTAGCAATGTAAGCAATAAGTATTGTCAGTATTGTAAGTATGGTATGAATGTTGTAAATAATGTAAGCAGTGTAAGCAGTGTTCAATATTGTAATTATTGGGTTAAGTAAAGCAAATAAAAAAAAAAAAAAAAAAAAAAAAAAAAAAAAAGATGGGGATGCAGCCTGTTCCAGCCACACTCCCTACCAGCACCTTACCCAGCTGATCCAGTGTCGATGAAATTCGCATGCTTCACAATGAGCTGTACGTGCAGGAAGCACAACCTCTAATGGACAGATATGTCTGGTTCATGTAAAGTGAAACGTACGAACAGAAACTTTAACACTGACACAGTTAAGCATGTTAGAACGCATAACAGTGACGATGAGGACCTTCAAATCTAGTCCCATCAGCTAAGAATTCTAAATTTTCGGAGAAGGCATTATAGAGGCTTTATATGATAGAACAGACTTAAAAGCGCGCTTGTGCACAGTTTCTTTTGGATTATGTGAGTGATTTCGGCTATGTATAACAAAGCCAGACTTGAGTACCCTGTGTTTTAGGGGTCATGAATGTAATTTGCATAAATTAATCTTACACGACTTCGAAAAAATTGCAGACAACTTTCTTACGATTTAACACCTCTTAAACTTTAGATTTCTTTCAAGAAACTAAAATGTTCATGAAATGCCCACGGGATTACACATGGCCCCGGACTATACCTCTAAATCCCCATGTTTTATTTTATTTACGAGTTAATATATGCTCTCCACGCGCATCATCCAACCTCACATCTTTCGGTTTTCATAATCAAGGGCCGCCTAATTTCTGGGGGGGGAAAAAGACATGAATACAAGCAAACAAGGTAGCGAAGTATAAAGTGTAGATGGCCGATCAAATGTTCTAAGATAAGTTTTGATTCTGGGTGCTTTCCAACTGGCTTCAAGAGCTGCAGGTGCAACTTTACGATTCTGTTGTATTTTCATTAAGTAAAGAATATTCAAATAGGTATAAAACTGATGAAAATTTTAAAAGGTTCACCTGCTTTAGGTATTCAAAAAGACTGCACGTTTCTGTCGATTGACCAACTCGGAAAATCAGAAGAGAATTTGTCACTCTTATTATTAGCTTAAGCGTCAGTTTTCCTGCTCAAGTTATTTTCTAATTTATCTAATATGCACCGAATTATTTGTTCAGTGATGTTGCGTTTCATAAATATCACAAACACAGCGTGTTTTCTACGACGCTTTGGCTGAACTCTTCCTGATCGCTGTCATCCACCAGCCGTATTCCCATTTATACAACTTGTACGTTTCTAAAAAGACAACTCTTTAATGAAGGAAACTCGAGCCATTCAAAAATCATACATCGCCGTCAGCGTCCTCAACGCCCTGTTATGTCTGACCGCTATTTTGCTGAACAGTGCAACCTTACACGCCTTAAGAAAAACTTCAGCGCTACCAAGAAATCTAAAAATACTCCTTCTAAGCCTGGTTGTCTCAGATCTAGGAGTTGGCTTGCTTGTGCATCCGCTGCAAATCGCATTTCTTATCGTGAGGCTGAAACAGTTACCTGAGAACGGATATACTTTTAAAGCTGCGGAGATCGCTTATCTTTTAGCGACTAATTTCCTTGGATACGCTTCAGTTTTTGGCGTAATAACACTGGGCGTAGACAGATTCTTAGCAGTTCATCTCCATCTGAGATACCAGGAACTTGTGACTCGTAGACGCGTTGTTACTTTGGTGATTTTTGTCTGGATGTTTTGCGCAATTATTTCATTAATGAGGCTGTGGATTGATGTAAACATAATGTACATCATGTTTGTCATAATTGAAGTTTCATGGTTCGTTTGTGCCACGTTGCTTTACTGCAAAGTATACGTAGCCGCGAGACGCCATATGAAGCAGATTCAAATGCAGCAAGTGCAACAGATGGAGAGGGGAAACGAGGTCGAACATGCCGCAGTAATAACTAAGTCTTCAGTCAGCATTCTCTTTGTCATTTTGGCGTTACTAGCTTGTTATTTGCCAAACTTTTGTCGTTTAGTCTTGCATCTAATACTTGGAAAAAATACCACTATAGAAACTATGCAACTTTATACCGTGACTCTGACATATCTGAATTCGTCTCTGAACCCTGTAATTTACTGCTGGAAGATGAGACACATTCGACAAGCTGTCATGGACATATTAAGAAGATGATGAGAAGTTAAAACTGAAAAAAAGGCCGATAACAAGCAGGCAACAAACTCAGGAAGTTCCACGGTAGCATTCATACAGTCAACTCTCTCGTAAGCGAGACCACCCTTAGTGCACGACAAAGTGGTCTCTTACGGGAGGTTGTCGTCTACAGAATAATAAAAAAAAATCAAGAAAATGAGCTCAAACTGAACTGATTAAGGAGAATACATGAAGTTACCTCACAAGCTACAACTTAGGTAAACAGACAACTTGCAATAACGTTTCACTTAATAGCTCTTGGAACTACTCAACACAACTTACAATTGATGCAAATATTTTGCGTCAATGTTACAATCCACCTTTTCCCCTACAGATCGTATTACAGTCGTCTTTTTTGTAAGTAGACTTTTGTAATCTGTCAGCACGCTTGGACAGTGCTTTTTAAAAACTGAGCTTTTGTAACACTCAAGTAATGATTTTCTTACAATCATACGAGATCATGCCGGGTGGTGAAAACAGCCGTTTCTCCTTGCTCCCCGTCGCTGAGGACGTTTCGCCAGGAGGAACGTCTGCGACTCAGCGACAGAAATTCCGTACTGATGACGTAGAATCTGTCCGGAATCTGGTCAGGAGCTCTGATTGGTGGACGTGGTAGTTATATTGTTTTACCTACTGTTTCTGAATTACAGACTAAAGACAAAAGGCCACAAAGGTCAAATGTAAACGTGATGAACCATTACAAAAAAGTCAATATTCTTAGAATATTAGACTTTCAAAAAAGTCCTTCATCGGATTCCATATGCTCGCGGTCGGCCGCTTGGCGGCCAAACAAGGCTCGCTTCGCTCGCCACGAGGTCGACTTGTAGTAAGTCTACACAAACGCCTGCTCAGCCGGAAACAGCATTCCTTTCCCATTGTTTTATTTGCGTGGTAAGTGACCAATAAACAGTTGTGCAATAAAGTGTTGACAGGCTAAACGAGACTTAAACGTGACCCTACAGTTGCCGTTTTCCTTCTTTTCTTTCCTTCGTTAAGGTTATGAAGTGCATGGAGTATTCTAAAATTTGATCAAACCTTGTTTTTGCCGCTGTGAATCTAACATTTATTGGAGGTTAGAAAGTTTTTCCAGTGTTTCATGCAGATCGAGTAATTATCAGATTACCTTGCGGTCAAGGTCAACTTTCCAGAATTTGGAAAGTACAATGTGATTGGCTAAGCATGGGAAAGGAATGTTGTCTTCGGTTGAGCAGGCGTTTGTGGGGAGGGATGAAAAACGAGCTCCCCTAAAAACGCCTGCGTGGGAGGCTAGGCTGGAGCTCATTTGCAAAAGAACACAAAACGTTACCATAATCGACCAAGAGAAACAAAAATCAAACAAATTTACATTTGGAACTCCAAGACTATACCAGATTTATTATGTAAACATTGATTTACGACATCAGTATGGAATAAAAGTCGCTGAGTCGCAGACGTTCCTCCGGGCGAAACGTCCCAAGCGGCGAGGAGCAAGGTGAAACGGCTGAATTCGCAGGATAGCTGGGTGGCCGCTAGCCTTCCACGCAGGCGTTTTTAGGGGAGCTCGTCTTTCATCCCTCCCCTCAAACGTTGTTTGTGGGGAGGGTCAGTGACCGCTTAAGGGAAACATAAAACAAAAGAATACGTCGAATATTTGCCGTTTAAAAAATGGTCCGGTCGTTTAAGGCTGATCAATGTTATTTAATCGCCTAAAAAGGGATTTTATCCTTGTCCGATAGCTATAACATTTTCACCACTAACTGACTTTGGATTGAAGTTTGTCAAAAAAAGCAAAAACAAAAAACAACATCAACAGCTACCTTAGGAGTCACTACGAACAAAAAAATGTCTTGTTACTTTTTTTTTATGTTGTACTTAACATATGCTGTTGCGCATTATCTAAAACATCACCAAACATGATTTTCATATCACGGGCCGCTTAATTTTTTTTTGCGCAAAAAATGACACCTGCATACCCTCAAGCAAACAAGACAGCGAATTAACATGGTAGAGTGGCCGGTCTGATGTTCTATGATAAGATTAAACTAGTAGTTTCCAGTGGAAAGTAAAGTGTTGCGAATAAAGCATGGCATTTCAATTAATTTGCATCAGTTGCAGTTTATTTCGATTGTTGATATTTGACATTAACCGTGTCACATACTGTGCATGTAATGCTACACGACACGAAGGCGATCGATAAAAACTGAACTTTGAACCGAAATAAGTGTTTATATCAAGCTTCATTGCATAAAAGTCACGAGTAAGAATAAATCAGGGTATTATAAGTTAAGAGCACGCGAGCGTTGAAGAGAGTGAAAGAGTGAATTTCCAATCGAGTTTAATATTAAATTAAAACTGGTTCATAAACCTTCGTTAGGGTATCAAATCATTTTCAATCTTTGCTTTCGTCGTGTATAAAACGTTTTACTACCAAGGGAAAACAAACCTTGTCACTTTGAAGAAAAACTCTTAATAACTAAAGCAATTTATCGATTAAATTAATACAACAAAGCCTAGCTGAAAACAAATTTAGTTAAAACACCGACTTTATTTACCGTAGAGTTCCAGGAATTGCTTGAAATATTCTGAGAAACGTATCGCTTCAATTCATGGGAATTTTTTACCTCCACTTGCATTCATACTCTTCGCATGCAAAAACGTGGCTTTCTATCCGAAAAACAGGATTTCGCAAGCGCTTAAAGTTTTCCACATCACACTTTATTCGTGTTCTTTTGTTTTCTTTCTGAATCGATTGACTGCGAATGAAAGATCGCAGACTTCGAAGGCCGTACTTGAAATCGAGGCAGATGCGGTGATATACATGCATACATACATACTTAGTATACAGGTATTTTGAGAAAGGTTGTCGGATAAAGTGCACGTGACAACCCCGAAAGGCATTGTGGGTTGTTTTTGAGTTCACCGTTTTTCAAGGAAATTTGAAAGAATGGCAGGAGAGGCCATGGACATATGTCTGTGAGTGCTAAAGGACAGCAACAAAAGTATTGATCATATCCCATACTACCTTTCGGGATTGTCGCGTGCACATTTTTTCCGACAACCTCTCTCGAAATAGCTGTATACACACTCAGTCACCTTGGTGATTTAAGCAATCTGATTAGTTGGCTATCTCGGACTGTTCAACAACATTCACCTCCTAGGAAGTGCATAATGTATGAGCTCGGTGTTTTTCCCTTTTTTTAGAGAATGATCTTTTAAAAGTCGACAGAACCCTTGGGTTGACTTTTTTAAAGGCAAGAAAAGACTTCGAAGGATTCAAAACGGCGCTTTTCCATTTACTGTAGCTGAGTTTTGGGCTCGATAGATTGTTTACAACTCCCGTTTGTTCGCGTAGAAGAGGCCGTTTCGTGAACTCAGCGTTTCCTAACAAGAAAAATTTGGCCCAAAAATCGAAGTATATTCATGACAAACAAATTTGAAAGCAAATGTTCACAGAAATTATATGTTTCAAGTTAATAGGAAAAAGAATGCTATAGGAAGACGATGTCTTACCTCGAGCAACCGAGCCGCTATTTTTGTCAGCACTCCATGCGAAGAGCGGCACAACAAACCTTTTTGACTATAAACTTGGCGAGTCAACAGAAAACAACAAAGCTCTACTTTTAGTTTCTTCTCAGATAAGGAAACAATTCAAAAGTTTAACGGTTTCATTTAAGCCATGACGCTGTTTGCGAAATAATAAACTTGTGATTTGTCATGTCTGAAAATTCTGCAAAGATCTATTTTAAATCTTTTGCGTGATTTGATCCGTCAATCAAATCGTACTTTTTAATGGGTTTCCTCTCTGGTTTTGTTGAGATTACTTCGTGTGTATATACTAGACTGACAATTATTCTTTTCAATCTCGGTGAATAGTGGCTTTAGGAACTGATATTCAGCCACTGTTCACCTCGATTTCAAAGAATAATTTTTAAATATTTGCCTTCCTGATACGCTTCCACTGCAGGTGTGACTATATGATATTGGCAGGTTTTCATCAAGGAAAATATATTCAAATAGCAGAAAATGACGGTAGAACACTTGTCTGTCCACTTGCTTTGGGCAAAAAAACTGAGCTTTTGTGTCGATTCTTCAACTCGAAAAGCCAAATTGGGTGACAATTCTTTCCCCTTCGCTTAAACGTCAGCTTACATCGAGGTAAGTTTCACAAACGTGACTAACATAGTTTGTCCATTACGACGATTTGGCTGAGCTTTCAACGTCATTCGTCATTCGCATGACTACTTAGACAACTAAAGAAAGTTCTGTAATGAAAGAAACTCAAGATGTCCATTCATCATACGTCGCAATCGCAGTCCTCAACGGTCTCCTATGTTTTACCGCTATATTCCTGAACAGTGTCACCATTAAGGCCTTAAGAAAAGCTTTGCCGCTACCAAAACAGCTAAAAACATTACTCCTGAGCCTGACTGTTTCGGATCTAGGAGTTGGCTTACTTGTCCATCCTCTGCACATTGCATTGATCATAATGGACTTGAAACAAATTTCTTACAACGGACACGCTTATGATGCCACGCAATACGCGTTTCTTGTTGCGGCAAATTTACTTATTCATGCTTCACTTTTTGGTGTGATAGCACTTGGCGCAGACAGATTTTTGGCCATTCATCTTCACCTTAGATACCAGGAACTTGCGACTCACAGGCTAGTAGTCGGTTCAGTGATTTTAATATGGATTTCTAGCGCAGCTATTTCTTTACCAAGGCCATGGGCTGCTAGGCAAATTATTTACATTGCCTTCGCCATCACCGACAGTTTATGTCTTGTTATTGCGGCGCTGCTTTACTGTAAGTTGTATGTAACCGCGAAACGCCATACAAAGCAGATTACAACACAGCGAGGGCAAGACCTTGGAAGGAAAAAGGAACTTTTGCGAAATGCTGCAACGTTAACTAAATCTTCAACCGGAACACTCTTTGTCTACTTGGCGTTGCTGGTTTGTTATTTACCAAATGCATGTCTTTTAGTGATGTATTCAATCCTTGGGCAAAATGCCACCATAAAGACAATGCAACTTTACACTGTGACCCTACTGTTTCTGAATTCCTCTTTGAATCCTCTCATTTATTGCTGGAAGATGAGACACATTCGGCAGGCTGTTATGGACATATTACGAAATATAATGAGAAAGTCTTAACTGGCAAGAATTATAACCGAGGATGTGTCCTTCACATAAATGCAGTGACATTTCTTGATCTTAGATACCAATTAGAACATAAAATTAGACGTTATCCGTTTGAAGAGGAAAAAGAAACAATCAAACAAGAAAGAAGAAAAAACAAGACAAAACCAAGACAAGACAAAAGTGCACTAACCCTAGAAGCATTCTTTCCAGCCAGCAAATCCCGAACTTCGTTGTTGTAAATTTCGCATACGGACATTTCAAGCGAGTAGCTCTCATCTGGATTCTCACGCTCACTGATGAGTCTATGAATAAAAATAGTCAATTAATAGACGGTGTATTTATCAGGTTTTATAAAATCATAGAATAATCCGGCAGATAATCTATCACTGCAACTGAAAGAACTGTATTTTATAATCTCTTTAGGACGTAAAATGTTCTTCAAAGTTCTTATTTTAGGGCAGGAAGTCGTACGACCTACATTAAATTTACCGCTAAAAAAAGCAAGTGATGAACAAGTGTTTAGAAGTTTAATGGCGTTACAGTAGTTACACTTGAAATGCAAGCGAATGGTGCTACACAAAATAAAAGGAATTTGTAGTTTTAACATTAGGTTTTACGAAACAAAAGCATTAATCGAGATTTTTATTCTTCATTCTTGTGTCAATATTTCTTAGCTTCAGCCTTAGGCTTACCTAATAAAATGTTCGACAAAACTCGGGAATTATACATTTTGGTTGAACGCAGACTAACGCGACAAGACGTTTTTCCCCTCTACATCGTATATTTTATATCAGTATTATTAATTGAAATCGAGAACGGAACCTTTGAATGTCTCACCTGAACATCTCCTTTGCTGATCGTGGGATGATGCCTTCATCTTTGTTCAGAGATTCAGAATCAATCTCCATATCCAAATCATGACTCCCAAGCATGGTGTGCGTTTTGCCAGATCCTGTTTGTCCATACGCCATGATGCACACGTTATACCTGTTCAGCGAACACACAATCAGTTCAATTAAGTGTTCGAAAATTCACACGGCATCAAGTGCTTGTCTCAATGACAACAAACGTTATTGACTTCATATTGAGGATATTCAAGTTAAACAAAAATATGTATATGTTGTAGTTAATTTTTTATCTCAGGTAATTGTTATGTTTTTCTTTGTTTCAACTTCATTAGCATACATTACCATACCAAAAAAACAAAGGAAACATAAAAATAACCTGGGATAAAAAAAATTAACTACAACATATATTTTAATTTTGGCAATTCACCATGCACAAGACCAAATTATTTTGGCTTTGCGCGCTACTGATGAAGTAGTAGCTGCTCTTTATTGAGTTGCTGAAAGACAGGAGAAAGCAAGGCCGTACCCTGATAGCGTAGGCTCGATAACCAGCCGTTATTCGCGAAATGACCCCACGCTCCTCTCCCGACGGGGAGGAACTAGACACAGTGGCGAATCTAGGGGAGGGGCCCGGGGAGCGGTCCTTATTTTTAGACCAAACAGAGGCCCGAAGACCCGAAAAAATTCTTTTTGGAGACCCCTCCCCTGTTTTATCTAAGGGTCTAGATGACCGGGGTCCCCCACTTATCTCAAGGTCTGGATCCGGCACTGTAGACAGACCCAAGAAAACGGAGGAAATCGAACCTATCGAAAGCGTTCAGAACGTTGCATAGGACCGATCTCTCGTTGACGTGTTATCAATTGCAAAGCACGAGCAGCTGAGCTGGAGAAAGAGAAACATCGACAACAAGAAATCCACCGCAAAAGCCAGCAGAGTTCCACTGTCACATAGATCGGCCTACAATCTTCCAGACTACATGTACGTCTACAGAGCCATTCCAAAGTCCACGATGAAATGCGCAGGTGTTGTCTTTCTCCGGCGTACTCCAAGAGACAACCACCCCGCATTGTCAGTTATTACTTAATCAACGACGACGGAGACGGCAACGAGAACGTACTTTTTTGTACATTTCTTTGCCGTCACCCCGCGACAACACGACGCGAGATGGCCTAATTTCACGTTTTGTTGGGGACACGAACACCAGACAACGACTTTCTTTTTCATTTCCTGAACTTTGATACCGTCTTTTAGAATTTAGCTATAAAGAAAAAAATTGCCAACATTTGACGAGTTGACCGAGATTGACTAAGCACGATTGACTTTGAAGCACCGCGAATTCACTTTTTAAGAGTAGTTTTCGTAGCCATCTCCGTCACCGTCTTCGTTGCTTAAGCTCCTTAATATTTTTTTGTGTACAGTGTGGCATCAGGTCGTTTCGCCTTAAGATCGTTTCGATTCGCCAGACGACATTTCCCCGACATTTCGTCCATTCGCTCGATGTATAAGCCAAGAGAAGAAAAGGAATATGCGAGAAAAGGCTATAACTGCACCTGTGGGTCAATGGCTTTTTACACGGAAAACTTGACACAAAATATCTCAAAGTCAGGGGCTAAGATCATACAGATCGTCGGACAATTTTCAGCAATCTTAGCGACAGAGTCCAAGCTTAACTGTAAAAACATCTCTGATAAGTATGTTCACCGGAATATAGAGTTCTGTAATTCAGCGAGCGAATCGATTTAAGTCCGGGCCAAAGTGAGGACGTCGTTTATTACTCACCCATCCAAAAGAGACGTCAGTAGAGGGGCCACATCATCGAAAAGTGACTCTTGATCTGTCTCAGGGCTATAAACTCTCTCGAATTCAAACTCCTTTTTCTGTAACTGACCTCCAATCGGCTTAGAAGGTTTGACTAATATCTTCTCCTCGTCCAATAATTCCACAACTTTTTCTGAGGGTGTTCCCGCCATACCAAGCGACTCTTCATCCCCAGGTGAGTCCAGTCGGCCAATACAAGGCCGCAGTCTGCAATGAACACGGATGTTTCCACGGATTTCCTGTTAAGCGGGAGCAGGACCACCATCAATAAATCTTTGAAACCGTTTTAGTTACAAGTAATACATGCAGATTAACCAGCTTCCCTGATGAGCTCGTTTATTATACAGTGGAACTCGATAAAACGAAAGGCCAAGGAATTGGCAAAATTTTTTCGCTATGAGGTAACCGGTGAAGTAGCCCGAAAGTCATCTCGCCCGAAACCAGAGTTAAATCGCCCGAAATGCGGAATCATGTCGGCTTAATTTTATCAGGTGAAGTGCACAGGAAACAAAGTTGATTTTTTCTTAATTAAAGAGGGTATGTTAATATATCTTGTTCTTTAAACCATCATAAGACGAAACAAGTGCAGAGTGAATGTGTAATATATCTCGCTCTTTAACAACGAAACAAGCGCGATAAATGAGTAATAAATCTTGTTCTATGATCTTCGATCAGAAAAAACAAGCGCCGCAAATGGTAATAGGGATGCTAGGATATTGTTGAGCATGATAAAATTTCGACTCGACGAGCCACATAACTCTGATTTCGAGCAGGAGCCGATTATCGGCTCCTGTTTCAACTTCGGGTGAGATGACTTTCGGGCGACTTGACCGTAAACCCGCTATAACGAGGTTTCGTTATATCGTCGTTATTTTTCATACACTTTACTATTACTGGGGTAAAGTGTGAGGATAGATTTTCCATGAATTCTTTATTTGCCTCTAATTTCATATATAGCTTTCAAATATTCGCTTTGACGTTGTTTTTAGTAATTCATACTGAATTCGCATAAAGAGGTTTTAGCTCCGCGAAAACGCTCGTGCCATTTTTGTTTGATTACTTAGCGTTCGTTAACGCAATAATTCTAGAAACAGCCAACAGTGTTTACAGGTGTCAAAACTATTTGCCCCTGACTCTTTTCAATTGGGCACGTTTTACTCCAATTATTGACTTTTAGAAATAAATCATTAGTTTTCAGAATAATGGCTATTAACTTTAGTTTATCTTTTAATCTAAGCGTTCTTTTTATTCTGCTCGACATCCGTTCACATTAGGTATTTGCGAATACGTTCATTAGTCTGTTGGAGTTTTGCTGACTTGCAAATTCGAAATATATTTGTTTTGCTTTAGAAATAGGAAACTAGTGATTAGTCCGCGTTTCTTGCTGTTTGAACAGACGCTAGCTGACCTTGCAATTTCATTCATATTGTAATATATTGTAAATGTACATAAACGCTGTTTTGCTGACCTAGCAAACGTTGCTAGCTTTTGTTCCAGTATGTTGCTGAATAGAAAACCAAAAACCCTGTGCGAGTTCAACTCTTTTCTCGTGTAAAAACATTCTTTTGTTCCAACAAATTTGCCTAGCTGCTGACTATGAAAACGATCTGCAGTGGAACCTCGATATTACGAACCTCTATATAACGAAGTATTCGGTATAACGAATGATTTTCTTTTGTGGCGGAAAGTTTTTCCACTTTCCGGGCGAACGATTTGGACACTCAACGGGAACTCGGCGCTTTAACCAAACCACTAACTGGTACAGCAAAGGCAAACTGAACTTTGGTTCCAACAGCGTTTATTCTTGTATACGTAGCGTTACTTTAGCTCACAAATGTAATCGGCAATGTAATCAGCTCTGAAATCCGCGATGTAATGAGCAATGTAATCAGCTCTGAAATCCTCGATGTAATGAGCAACGTAATCAAAAAAGCAGTTCAAATCAACTTACTTATATGAGATTTGAATAACCATTGAAGACAAAAGAGTACAATAGATATGTAAACAGAAATCATTTAGAGGTCAATGAAAATGAAAAAAGAAGAGATAGTTATAGCTTGTTACTTTTACTCAGTTTAAAAAATAGAAACACTAGCGGCCGTGACGTCATAGTTATTAGGGAGCTTTAGCAACGACAACGGCGACGGCAAAGAGGACGTCAAAAAAAGCAATAGGTTTGATTACGCAAAACAACAACTTTGCACGTGCATCACGCTTTTTTGTACATTTCTTTACCGTCCTTGCTCGACTACGACGTGAAAATGCCTAATTGCAAGTTTTATGGAGGACATAAACAAGCGACGACGAATCTCTTTTTCTCTCTCTAAACTTGAGTGCGGTCCTCAAGAAATCAACTCCAGGGAAATTCGCCTACACTTGCCATTTTCAGCAAATTGGAACAAACGCGACAAAGATTGAAAAAACGGGAATTCATTTTAAATCTGACGGTTTCGCTGCCGTTGCCGTCGTCGATGCTAAAGCTCCCTATTAGTGAGCTTAAGCAATGACGACGGCGACAGCAATGAGAACGGTAAAAAAGCAATAGGTTTAGATTAGCAAAACAACAACTTTGCAAGTGCATTTCTTAGCAGTCGTTGCACGACTACAACGTGAAAGTGCCTAATTTCATGTTTTGTCCAGGACGGGAACACAAGACAACAACTTTCCTTTTCTTTTCCTGGACTTGGATACAGACCTTTAGAATTCCACCACAAATTTATTGCCAAAATTTGACGAGTAAACGAGATAAAGTAAGCGCGATAAAGTTTGAGGCAGCGCGGATTCACTTTTTGAGTGACGTTTTCGTAGCTGTCGCCGTCGTTGCTACTTAAGCTTCCTTTAGTTAATAGTCGTCCTGACAAAGTACCTTGATACTATACAGCTTTTCTTCTGAGAAAAACAACAACAACAATAAAAACTAACAAACAAAGTAAACAAACAACAACAGTTACTGAATCAATCTACCAACTCTACCTATTATGTGGCAGAAACTTACCACTAGAGTGTTGTGCAATGTCATTCTTCTTGACTTTTCTTTGATATACCTTTGTCGGAAGTCAACCATTTCCATCTCTGTCTTGAGAAGCTTAGACTGAAGGCCTAAAAAATAGTTTTTACAGTTTACAGAGAGGAACAATAGAGAGATATAGCAGTGGTACTGATTAACGACAGGAAGAACCAGGATATTAAAGGAAGAAGAATTAAAATGTACATTACAGGTCAATATTATATTCAGGTTAAAATTTTTAAACCTAGGTTGAATCTCAATTTTTTTTGTCTCCTAGCCCTAAATCATCAAAGAATAAATTAGGGCTAGGAGACAAAGGAAATTGAGAATCAACCTAGGTTAAGAAAAAAATTAGACCTCAATTTAATTTTGGCCATCACATCAGTGAACAGGTGAATAAATATCCAAGTCAGGGCTGTCATTAAGGAATAAGAGGCAGGGGCTGGGGATTTTCCCTGGCTACTATGAATATAATAAAGGAAATATAGAACCAAAACATATCCCTGCTGTTTGATTCCCTGCCTACTTGTTGCATTTACCCTGGACATCAAGTTTTCAGGCCTCCTTTGCTGGAACCTCGATATGATGAAGAGCCAAGGGACTGGCAAAATATATGTTCGCTTTAAAAGAGTTTTGTTGTAGCGATTCTCTCTTCTGTATGCTTTATACATGGCGAGGAATATCATTTATTATTTCAAGGACTTCCTAATAAAAATAGGTTTGTTACATCGAGGGTCCACTCAGTCATGTATATTGGTAGCTGGAAGCCATTATACAACCAAACCTTATTTGGTATCTGAGGTTTATTTGTTAAGTACCAATAGCACTGATGAGAAAGGAGAACATATTTTTTCAGTAATTAATGAAAAGGTCATCAGAATTAAGCAAAGATTTCAAATGGTGGCATATACATTTATGAAAGCCAAAAAGTACTATCATGTTTAAGGGTTCACTAAGAGGGGGGAGGCGGGGGGGTTAGTGTATATGAGCTTGACCCCCTTCATTTCAAAGGAAGTTAAAGGAATTTAGAACCAAAAGAATTGCCTAGCTTTTCTTGTGAATTCTCTGCCCACTAATAAGTTGCATCTAACAGGCATCTTGAGATCTTAGTGAGACCGCTGCATGTACCAGACAACATGAATCTAGACTGCGAGCAGTCTCTTATTTTTCTTTGCAAAGTTACTGCACGCGAAACCTAAGCACGCGAGCGGCGAAGCCGCGAGCCACGAGAAATGAGGGCGTAAGCCCAGTGTCTCAATTGTAATGATAACGTCGCGGTTTGCAATCGCGCTGGATGAGATAAGACCTAGACGGATTTTAAGAGAAAAGACGGACTGCAAGCAGTCTACATGAATCAGAAGCAAATCAAAAAACAGAATGGCAAAATTTTAAGGCAATTATTTTTAATTGGACTGTAGAGACAAGTGTTCCTGTACACATCAGATGTACTACTCTGAAGGAATCAAACCCTAAATTGGACAGAGGAACTGGATACTTTTGGGAATGTTAAGTTTACCTTCCATGTTGGACATTTTCATGGATCCAAACTGATTTGTGAGTTTAGTTGTCTTTTCCATTTCTTGAGCCAAAAGTTCTGGTAGAACTTTTACTTTCTTCTTCAGGTCATGCAACTCTAGCTTCAGTTCCTGTTGGATTACAGATAGAGCAACTACATCAAGTAATAAGAGAAAATAATCATAAAAAACATTACAGGAAAGGTTCGTTTGTTGCAATTTTTAGAGCAAGTTGAGCAAAGACCAAAAAAGTCGTACTTCTATAAAAACAGCTCATTTCAGGGGTAAAGGAGTGAGTGCAATGAACAATGCATAGGCCGGGGGATGGAATCCCATAATGAAAGTGTATGATCTGAGGACTGGGGATGGTTGTGGCCCTGCCTAGAGGTTTAAATTGTACATTTTGTTGCAGTACTTTATTATAATTAAAGCTCTTCCTATATTATTCATCCTCTGAGAACCAAGGGCAGTCAGTCAGGCCGGGAGAAAAGGCAAGACAAAACTTTCATCACACTTTTTCTCCCGGCCCAACTGACCGCCCCTGTGTCTGCGAGGATGATTATTATTGAGAGCCAGACAGGTATCAATTATGCGATTGCAGGGCTGTGCATGAAGAAACAAAGCACAAAAGGAGAGAGAAAAATGGCACAGCAGGAGCCAGTTCTGTCATAAAAGCACTTTTCTGCAGAGCCAGGAAGTTGCCAGTTTGATCCCCAGGATGGGATTAATACTCAGGGTCTTGAGATACCTGAGAAATGAAGAAACTGCCTTTGCTCTCCAAACAGCTTCACCCTAGGTGGCTAACCACTTATAAACTGGTGGTCGTATCTCCAGTTGAAGACATAAAAGTATTGTCTTTATACCGATACTTTTTTGCTAATGATATTGACAATCAAATAAGGTGCTTTTCTCTTTTAAGGGGTCAACTGCAGCTTGAGTTACAGTGTGCACTCACTTAAGTCTTTTCAATGAAAATCCCTGCATGCTTTTTGCACATGTAGTTCACCTACCTGGGTGCACAAGAAGAGTCAAATTTGCAAATCAAAGCTTAATGAATGCATTAATCGGTATTTGTTCTTGAAAGAGAAATAAAAGATTTCCTTAAAGATGTTCTAGATGTTTTTGCTTTGCCGATTTACAATTTAAAATTTGTGCTTTTATTTTTCTACTGTGATGAGTTTTAGCCATTTTTCCCCTTCTTTTAAGGAAAAAATAAAAATGAATAATTATGCTGACTGTGGTATGGTTTCAAGTGTGAGAATGATGATGACTTCTTTAATTTAATTTACTTTGTTGTCAGTCTGGTTACATTTCCTCAATGCGCCTTAATATAGTTATATAGTGCAAACCTGAACTTTGTCACTTGAGTTCCTTAGTGTCTGTAATGATGTTTTTCTAAAACCCTGTTCCTCATCAAACAAACGTCTGAAGTGCGTGGCTTCATGGCGGCAGGACCTGACAGAGCCTTGACACTAAAAGGAAATTCTGAATTATATTTCACGTTTCTTGGTTATTTACAGTATAGCCTTCTAATAAACTGACTACAAGTAGCACAGCTAGGTTGCTCAAATGGAATTACGCCAGGAATTATTCAAACGAGATTATTACTGTTGGTAATTAAAGGAAGCTATTTCATTTAGAACAATAGTCAACCATTTGAAGTCAAATTAAATTACGCACAATATAATGCTTACGTGCTGGTAAACCAATATCAGCTGGTAAGCATTAACGGTACAAGTATTGGTGAAATATCAATTGATATCATTTACCTGAGCTAGTTTAAGATACAGCATAGCATTTTCTGTTTCAAGAGCAACGATCCTTTCCTCTCTAGCCTGAAAACAACATCAATGGCATAAGCAATTTCCCAGACGATGTTCAACCCACAAAAGGAATAAAGCGTTTAGAAACAAATCGAGCGTAAAATTGATCTTACTCTCAACAGATTTTCCAGTTTCTGGACACGGTCCTTCAGTTGTTGATCGCTTAACTCAGGCATTTTTCTACGACCACAGGAGAAACTTTGGTAAGGGCTATAGTTATAGTTATATCCTTGCTAATTGATAAAATCAAAAGCACATTTTCCCGGCCTGTAATGTAATGTTAACCGCGTCAACTTCTCTTTGACAACCAGAAAATGCTTCTCTTTCTTGTTTACCTTTTGCTGCGCCCGCCGTAAATTCGAGCAGCTGTTGTTCTTTTGATGTTCATCTAAACATGGTCATAATGGTCAAATATGGGTATCGAATGGCCCCAGGTCCTCTCTCTGGTCCAGTTGACTTCCAAAACAAAGAATAATGTTTCGTTGTGGTCGAGGAAGGTGTTTTGCAAACAACTTTAAAGATTTGTCTGGAACGTTGGGAAATGTCGAGTATCTCAAAAATCTCATTCCAAATGTTTTGCAGTTAATTGAAAAACAAAGCCCTCCTGAACGTTCGAGTTGTGACGGAGGTCTGTATGTCGGTGGTGCTGGTATTGGGTACGCTTTTTATGCTGTAGCTGAGAGCTCTGCACAGTTTCCAGTTGCAAATACACGGGAGGATTGTCTCAGAAAGGCCCTCGAGTACATGAAGGTACGATTGATTAAGACATCATTTCCACACAAACGCATAAAACCAAACAAAAACCCTAGCATAAGATGAATTTTGTGGTAATAGAAAGATGTGAATGTTTTTTTTTTTTAATATCCAGCCCCCAGCCCCATACCATGAATAAAATTTTCAAAAGGGTGGGGAGAGAGGGGTGTTAGGGGGCTGGTCAACTTACCTTATCCTTTGAAGGGGGTTGGTGGCAATGTAGACAGACAGAGGTAGTCCAAGAGTCCAAGCTATTTGGGAGCCATCAACATGAGTGTGACTTTGTGTAACAGTGTATTTTTAAAAGATTGTTAGGGAATAACTTTTTCATTTAAAAATTAATTGTACCATTTCTTCTTCTGTAACTGTAGAAATTCATTCAAACTTATTTGCTTTGGCAGTGGTGTGTAAACTTGATCTGATAACCAGTTACTCTTTCTCTTTTGGGCTTGC